ATCCAATGAATCACCTTGATTAAAAATTGAGAATACTTTGGATTTGATAGAAAAAAAAAAAAAATTAAAATAGATTTGAATTTGGGTCCTTTGCATCAAAAACATGGACATATCCTGCTACACCACACAAAGACTATAGGAACATGAACAAAATCCTAAAATAGATTTTTTACACCAAGATAAAACTATAAATGAAAGGGTCTGTTTAAAACTATGATCAATTTTAATTATCGCACCCGACCGCATCACAAAGACAAAGAAGAAAATGTGATGTGTTAACAAAAATGTTCTGGACATGGTTGATTAGTTAGTTAGGGAATAGGGAAATATCCTATGTCTTGATATCTAAGAGAGCAGTGCAGTATTGGATAAAAAATAAATTTAAAATAAAACAGCACACCATCTCCAAAGGTTTTATGACCTAAAAACCAGAAACCATTGGGAATATTTAGCACGACCTGTTCACAGACACTTTGTGTAAATCTCACCACACACCTCACCGCTGTCTCGCTGTCTTTGTATGGCTCTACATTATGCACTACTCCATTACTTCCTGAACTTAAGGCAGCTCCTCAGGTGCCTGACCTCAGTAACCGTGGCAACAATGGCCAGACACACCTGGGTTCATCAGTTCATCCAGTAATGAAATAAACCAAAGGAGTTCAGAAAAAATCAAGCTGCACATAGAACCCATTGCTTGCCATGTTTAAATGACATGATTTAATGATAAAATCAAACTTTTTTTTTTTTTTTTTACATCAAAATATCTTGTACATATCATTACTTCTACGTGAAAAAAATAATTTGAAATATTCGGTCATGGGCCCTGATTGACAGATAAAGAGAAGAAGATATGCTTGATATTTTTTTATTTATCTAGTATAATTAAATGTATTATTTTAATCTATCAAAGCTATTTTTTTTCACACCGGTATTTTTATTTTGAACCAAAAAATATAAACCAGATGACACTTTTGCTGTAAATAAAACTGCATACTTATTTATTTTATTACTTTTAGTAACAATAGATGATTTAAAGACACAAAAAGGAGACTATGGAAAACGTTAGCAGAAATGCAATGAGTTCATAGCAGGTGTGTGAATGATCTTTTCATCTGACTATTGATGGGAGTGAGAGATATTATTGTCAGAAAGAGATTACAGTATGTATATATATATATATTTCCTTTTCAAACTGATACACTATAAAGTATAGAGGAACTAGAACTAGAATCTGCTAAGAGCACAAGTACGCTAATCACGCTAAAAACAGAGAGGGGAAAATAGCTTGATAGCATGTCGGAGCAACATACCCTATATTTAATGATAATTTAAAAGTGTCATTATAAAATCCTTATTATGAGTAAAATATTCACATATTTTACTCATCTTTTTTGATAGTCCAGTTACCTAACAGGTTTCTGCTTTGCTATAAACAGGACTCAGAATTTCCTCTGGGATTAGATCTGCATCTTCCTGATGATTTTCCATTAACTAATCCTCTAGATATATTAAAAGATTAATAATATTTAATGTTCCTATTGTTGAGAAAAATTTGATTTTAATGCATGGAAGGTTTCCGCAGGCTGCAGTGGCTGGATGAAAATGTTTAATGGTCCCAAAATATCTCATTTGTATTCATGTTTTCCATCGACGCTAATCTGTGATTTGATTAAATGTGGGGAAATGATGTTTAGCATCTCTGTTCTTTTGATTTATTCTCCTTACTAGCTCAGCTTGATGAGGTATGATAGTAAATGAAATGATTTGTTTCTCTTTATTGATAAAACATGGTGAGTTGATGCAAACCTAATTTGGTTCAGGGTCTAAATCACCTCATATTTTCCTTCACTAAAAAAATCAAAGGTAGTTAAGCAATTTTTTCTTTTTCTTGATTTGTTCAGGTAAGTAAGATCATTTACCAATGGATAAACATGATTCATCTTTAAAAATGAATAACTTTCTTATTTCATAAGAAAGATAGTCATTCCAAAAAAAAAAAAAGATTATCATTCCAATGGCAGTTTATCTTATTTACCTGCTCAAATCAAAGGAAAATATGCTGATTTTTATTACATTTTACTTAATTTTAGATCACTGTTTGCAGAAACATGTTTCTTTATTTAGAAATATACACTTTAAAAGCTTTTTTTTTTGTTATCTCTAACCAGCAATACAAGGCTTCCCAATGTAGGGGTCAGGGCCCCTAAGGAGGTCACAAGTCAAGTTGGAGGTCGTGATCATGCTTTTAAAATCATACCTTAGAGCAAAAAATATCAAATACATAAATATGAATGTCTCATTAAACAAACAAATACAAATGGTAAAACATATGTATATCTCGGTTTTTGAATTAGTAAATTCAAGTCAATAAATGTAAAATACTTTTCATTTGTTCCTTGTAGTAAACTCGATATGTCATCCTTTAGACTTGAGATTTTCAGAATAAAACTTTGCAGAATTATAATTATAAATCAAAACTTCATGAGCTTTATGCTCCTGCATTAAAAACAACATTTGAAAATGATAACATTTGATTCAATTCAGTTTTTGACTCCTTCTTTTATAAGGCAAACAAGCTTTAGGTGTTTTGTCACCACCAATAGGTAAGGCTGGAACCACTTAATGGATGGATGGACTTAATTGATGCTGATCTGACAGTACACCAGTCATTTAATCCTAGCTGCACAAACACAAACTTTCAAAGCAGTCAATAAGCGCTTTTATAAATCACTTCAGTCTGTCTGCCGGAATTCTGGGTCGTTCTGAGTCCTGGCATCACCAAAGTGTTGGGATAAATCTGATTAAGGCTCACTGGGAGGGAGAGAGGTGTAGTTTTAGTTTGAAATCTCTGAACCTACATTCAATTTAAAGCGCGGTTAGAAAACAGAACGAGGCATAAAGAGAAATCAGCTCCTAAAGAAGCCGGCGAAATTCTCTGAGAGACACACATAGATGAAGAAACCAACACCCACTCCAAGTGAAGTGGGGGAACGCCTCATCGCTGCTTCAGGGTGCATGTTTTCTTCTCTTCCTTAAAAGAGTTCAAACCCATAGACAGAATTGGATTGCTGCTGGGCTCCATGGCAACCAGTGGGGCCGTTTTCAATCACCGCAGCTGAGTGAGGGACCAGAGGAGTTCATTAGCAGCACATATTTTCACTCCGCCTTCACACGTTGCACACACATTGAGTCATGAAAACTTTGCTTTTCATTCACGTTGGTACTCTGTGAAAATCCAGTCACTCTCCTGTTTAATTCCTGGGATTAAATTAAAATTTATCTCATGCTACGGATGAAGACAGGCTCACTTTCCTCCTTGTTATGGATATATAAAAATAATAATTAACCTTTATTACCTCTGCATTTAACCCATCGCCTTGGGGAGCAGTGGGCTGCCATCTTGGGGCGCCTGGGGAGCAGTGTGGGGTTAAGGGTCTTTGCTCGGATCTCCAGAGTGACAGTTAATCCTAATCCTAAATGTCTCCATCCTTCCTCTCTCCTTCTCTTAAAATTTGTCCTAATCCTCCCTCTCAATCCTAATTCCTTTAGCTATCGTTTCAACCCTTCCTTCACCTCCAGCGTCTCTAACCGTTTCTAAATATTTTGTCATAATTCCTCTCATCAGTACCTTCTTTTACCTGTAATCCATCCCACGTACTGCTATCATTCTCAATTCCTCCCTCCTAACATTCAATCCCTTCATTGTTTTATTCCTTTATCATTGAGTTCATATTTGAAACCATTTGCTGCGATCTTAACGCCTCTGTTGTAACCCTATTCAGGTATGTTGCCCCACTGAATGACTAGCTTCAGCCTCATTTGACTTGCTTTTAGAAAATCCACTGGAGCTGCATCGATTGTCCCTTCAAATACAAGATATAAACGACAATTCCTCGTGTTTCAGAAGGAGTCCGTCAAACTGGAAATCAGGGAGTCAGCTAACAAAGGATCCAGGTATCGTTAATGCTGCGCATGATGCAGATATAGGCCATAATGCGGTTAGTTACATCCTGCAACAAAATGCTAATTTTGTGTTCAATATGCAGACAACCAATGCTGGTAGTAAATACTAGTAAATACTCAGTTACTCTGTCTCCACCGACACAAAGTGCCGCCGCAGCATGATGCTGCCACCACTGTGTCTTACAGTAGAGCTGCTGTATTCAAGCTTTCTGTATGCTTGTTGTTTTTTGAATGTGAGCTAAAAAAGCATCTAAAAATCAACAAATTTTATTCGGTTCCATTTTGGTTGCTTTTTTATATATTTATATTTAAGTAACTACATTTTTTACTTGAAGTTCACTTAATTAATTATGCTTGCATATATGTTCCACGTGTGTTACAGACCATGTACCTGTTGGGTATCTAAAATTATAACAATTTGATATTTCTGAATAAACAAGGACACTTTTTAATTTTACAAAAGTACACTTGTATATGCCGTCACATGGTCAGATCAAACATTGAAGTACGCAGCGATTAGGCTTTAATATCAGTACTTTGTGGAAGAAATAAGTACAAATATACCAGATTCAAAACTGCCCCTGTATTTAACTTAAATACAGGGGCAGTTTCACATTTAACCTATGCTTAAATAATTTAAGCATAGGTTTAAGTCTTAGTATTAATGTACTACTTAGAGTTATACGTATAGTTTTTAGTCTAAGTATACTCTACTATGTAATTCTCAAGTATATAAAATAAAGTTTATAAAAAAGTAAATGCCAAGTATACCTATAGTAGAGCTGAATAAAGTATTTTTTGCTAAGGGAATGTTGAGTTGATATTTGAATAATAAGGAAAAATTAACTTTTCATTTTATGTTACGTTAATAAAGCGGTTATTTATGTCTAAATACTTTTAATATAGAGTTTCTATTAAAAGAATAACATTTTTTTTTTTTTTTTACTTTTACCTAATTTCCGCTATCACTTCTCTGGTGTTAGTTTTTTTTCCTGTTACAACAACGCCATCTCCTGCTCAAACGCCGTAATCACACACCGACGTCATCAAAGCGCGACTGTGTTGCTCTTGTCCTTCACGTCGCCTCTCCGTTTCAATCGTTACAAAAGTGTAGTATGGATAATATATGAAGCTAATTTTCTTTGTCTTAATGGAGTGACGGAGGATAGAGGAGAGAAAAAAGTCGGAAAAAAGGATTTATTTCGCTTATTTTCAGCTTTTTAATCTGTAAGTAACACCGAAGCTACATTATTGACAGCTAATAGTTTGGCTTTTTTCCCCCTGTTATTGTTGACAAACTTGTCTGCTTTGTGATTAAATTAGCCCTTCTTTACCTATTTCGTTTAATTAATAATAAAGTACTCAAAACTTTGTTTATATATTTAAAAATGATTGATAATTAATTCATATTAGCCACCAAGTAGCAGCTGTTTGTAAAGAATGGGATTGAATAAGTTCATCTGTCTCCCTCAGGTGTTCAGGGATGGCAGCTCCAAACTCTGCAGAGAGGAAAGCCTGCAGGGATGCAAGGGATCAGCTCTGGCAATGTTTGGATAAAAACAATGACAGGCTTGAATCCTGTCAGAAGTTCCAGGCTGACTTTGAGGCCAGATGTCCAGCTCAGTGGGTAAATTAGCCTGTTTGTTAACAGCTGATACTAGAGTGGACACAGAAATACTTAAAAACTCTGAAAATGAAAACTATTCAGCAGTTTGGTAAATGGCCTGTACTTATATAGCTCTTTTAAAGTAAGAAAACTTGACCAAAGCGCTTTACACTCATTCCCCCATTCACACACACACACTGATGGTGGCAAGCTACATTGTAGCCATAGTTGCCCTGGGGCTCACTGACAGAAGCGGGGCTGCCGTACACTGTCGCCACCAGGCCCTCTGACCACTATCAGTAGACAATGCAGGTGAAGTGTCTTGCCCAAGGACACAACACTGAAATCGAACCCTCAGATTGCAGGGCAAACTCCTACACCCGGTGCCACTGTCACCCCAAGTTCGGCTTCTGGTTTTCCTTTTTTTTTGAAAAATGTAATGAGAGTAGAAAAATATTTCTCTTTTTCCCTGGAAAAATTGAGAAATCTAATTTCTTATTTGCTTAAAAGCATCTTGCTCACTTCAAACCAACATAGAAGAGGTGGTGTGGTAGTTTGGAGATTCATGCTGTTTCAAAACCTGGACGACATGCTGTAATTTAATCAATCTGGGTGGAGAATTTCTGACTATCCCTTTGTCTTTAGCTCAGTTGGATTTGGGTTACACATTAAGAAAGGCATCTGAAGCCTTCCAGCTAACCCACCTCTGATTTACTCAGAGAAAACAATCTTAAAAAAGGATTAGGTGAAATGTGGGGCTGCAGCTAACGATTATTTTGAAAATACATTAATCCAGGCATTCCCAAACTCGGTCCTTAAGGTCCCCTGTCCTGCAGGTTTTAGAGGTTTCTCTGCTTCAGCACAGCTGGTTATAATGATTGCAGTAGACCAAAAGCCTGTTAATGAACTTTCAATTAAAATCAGCTGTGCTGGAGCAAGGAAACCTCTAAAACCTGCAGGACAGGGGGCCTCGAGGACCGAGTTTGGGGATGCCTGCATTAATCTAAAGGTTCCCTAAAGAAGACTTTTTACTAAAGAGTTCTGGATAGAGCATATTAACAGAAAAATCAGTTTCTTTTATCTTAAATGTAAAATATTTACATATATATATATATATTTTTTTTTTTTTTACAATTTTGGTTCAATTAACTGCTGTGTTGCTCTGTCAGCTAAAGGCATGTTTTACAGTCTCTATACTCCATTTAATGATTAATCCATTACTAAAATAGTTTATGAATATTATTTTAATAATTGGTTAATCTGATTGTTTCAGCCCTAGTTAAATGCAAGTAAGGAGAAGTTAGCTGAAGCTAAAGAAGAAGCTAAAAGCCCCTCTTATGATGGTAAAGACCACTTTCCAGACTGTTGCTGCTAATGCTAACTAATTTTATTTTCCAGTATTTCTCACTGGATGAAAAATTCAATAGTTATTTTATTTCCAAAGTAGCAAAAAGTTGCACCTGTCTGTCAGAAGTAGTTATTTTTCATCTTTAAATGAGATTATCTGAGAGGTTATCAATGAATTTAATAGAATTTCTACTCTAAAGTACTTTCTATAAAGTATTGCTTTATTTGGGCTTCTCTTAACCTTTTTTTTTTCCATTCATCTTTCTGGGCAGGTGAAGTATTTCACTAAGAGGAGAGACTTCCTAAAATACAAAGAGAAGATGCAGACCGAGGGATTCACACCAGCTGGAGGCCCACGCGAAAACTCCTAACTGGAAAACTATAGATGGACTTTTACCCAAACCGTGCAGGACCCTGTGTGCAGTTAGCTTTATTTATTTGTTAAAAATAAATACTTGGAAAAAATATTTTGACTTATTTTCTAAGACATACTAAATATCTTGTAATGTTTTCTGTCCAAAATGGTCTTAAGGTTAAATTATTATCAACGGAAACCATCAGTCTGTTTAACTAGTTTTCAGTATCGGATCAAGTGTTTTGTTTTTGAATAAATCAAATCAGCCCAGAGATTAATTTTTTTTTTTTTTATGGCTTTTATTGTCGTACATGAATGTATATTTTTTTGGATGGGTAGGGGTGACCTTTCAGGAATAAGCAGCTGATTTAAAAATGTTACAGGTCATATAAAACAACCAAAAACACATTGAGTTTATATTACAAATCGGTGTGTATTTACAAAGGATCGTGGCCCCTCCAGGGTCAAAGGTCATTGCAGGGTTCCTATACTGCCTGGAATGAATTGTGGATCAAGTAAAACTGTTGATTAATTTTTAATGCAGTCGTTACTTTTATCTGAATTTCTGAAATAAAGCTGAACAGTTAGGATTGAGAATTGAAGAATTGGAAACCAGGAAAAAAATGTGTCCTGTAAAAACACGAAGGAACCCTGCAGAGATCTATAAACCACAAAGAAAACTGTAGGCATCACATCCAGACTTCACTAAGGCTTCTACTTTTAATGCAGTAGTACAAAACAACAAATTACATGTAAATTATTGTATTTTCTGTAAAAAATATAAAGCATATCTTCTGCATTTATGCTCAGTACAATGAGGGTTTTGCACAAACCTTGACCTAGAGAGTTATTGTGATTTGATGGCTGATTAAAACAAAACTATTGCACAATACAGTCCCGTTTTCACTCCTCCAGTTTCTTTCTGAAGTCATTTTCAGTCCATCAGAGCATCGGATGGACCCAGAGATTCACTTATTCCTGCTTTTACACACCAGAGTTGCACAAAAATCACCCGTACACCTTCTTAAACACCTCATTATACTAACAACGGAATATTTATCACTCAGCTATTGTGGCCAAAATCTGAAAATGCAAGTTTCAAGACCTTTTTACTTCAGAATTCACCATTACTACTGTAAGCACTAAACATTAGTGAAAAAAATGAAAGAGTTTGCATAAGTTCTGAAAGTATGTTGTGAGCCTCACAGCAAGGCACCAATGAGCTTAAACGGTTTGGATGCAGGTTTAAAAACGGAATAAATCCGCTTTAGAAAAGGATTGGTCACATGATAGGAAGCTTTTCATTGTGAAGAAATCAGATTTGATCTGCATATAATACAAAGAACATGAACAATATTTGGTTATACGTACAGTAGCTTGACTAGACTTACTGGTAAAAACGGTTCAGAAGGTGTTGGACTTTGGTCCGAGTGTTAAAGTCACTGGAGCAGAGATATTACCAAAACATTTCTGTGTATGTGCTGGTGAAAATTCTCAGTCATCCAATTGCCATTCCAAAAAGGTAAAAAAAAAAAAAAGAACAACATTCCACTGGACCTTTTCAATTGTAAAAGCTTCCTGGATGGGAAGCAAAACGTCTTCAAACTTGGAAACAAAGTCCAGTGCATTGTTTAACTTTTTTGGAATTTCTTTGCATGAACTTCAACAATAACATTTTTGGATTGTCCGTCAAAAGCAGCCTCTCCGACATTCAGGAAAGCTCTAATATTTGCACTAAAAAGGAGCACCAAATATTGAAGGTTTATAATTCTTATCTGAATTTAATTAAAAAAAGGCGTGAATTGTTGCAAACGTCCAAGATTTCTGAGGCTCTGCTTTAACAGTCAGACTGCCTGGAGAAATTCAAGGAAGGTCAACTTTGTTAAAACTTTCGGGAAGGTAAAATATTTAAGATTTCTCAAAAGGATTTAAAACCTAACTAAAAACATAAAAAAAAAAAACGTCAAACGTAGTGTGATTTAATAAAAAAAGAAGAAATATTCCTATAGTTGCATAGTAATTGCACCTGACAGAAAGGAAAAGACACCTTGTAGACGATTAATCAGCAATATTATCAGTTTTAATTTAATTGATGGTTGGTTACCCTAGCAACTGCCGGCAAAAATGTGCCTAACTTTTGATTGCAGCCTTGATCCATTTTTAGCTATAACAATAGACTTTATTTGATAAATGTTTATATTTTACTTAAATACAAGAAAATACTGTAAGCTGTACTTAGATTTGATAAATAAAATAAAAAAATGTACACACAGGTGTCAATGCATTCTGAGTAAATGACGTATGCTAGGTCCTGTAACGCTAGCCCTGTCCAGCTAAAACATAAATTAGTAAAGTTTCATCTCTTTGGTTTGAAATGTATGTCAATATAGAAATCTAAAGAGGTAATAAAGATGAAAGTTGGTTGAAAAAGCTGGTGTTTGCGAGGCGGATGCTAGGAGATACTAACCCAGAGAGCTACGCTACAAATTAAGAGCTCCAGTTACGGTTAGCATCAGGATGAAAACATTTTCTCAGATATATTATGTGTTACAACAACTGAGAGATGCTTTGTTGTCACCTAAAACAGTCATTCATTAACCTCTGGTCTGGTTTTGATCCCACTCTCGCCTTCTACTAACGGTGTTAGCTAGAGCTAGCTAATACAGTAAACGGTAGATCACAAGGTGATTACAATTTTTTGTTTCAACAGATATCTCATACATAACTGCACATGAAAACTTTGAGGCAATGTCACCACGCGATCCGTTCCGGAAGCACAAACCGTTCTGCGCATACGAGAAGAGATATACATCCGGGTGTCATTAAATAATGTAATTATGGTACAAAAATCCTTATCCTTAATTCATTAAAGAATGCTAAAACACATCTTTAAAAATGTTTTATGACGTTTGTGAGACAATTTTGATGCTTTTTACGTTTTCTTCGTTAAACTGCTTCCCTGACTTCATCATCAGGCATGCTCAGAGCAGTCCGGCAAAATATGATTGAACCACGTTTATCTACATTTTAGTTGTTTATTTCTTTAGATTACGCAAAAAAAGCCGAAAATGTTAGCCAAAGGATGTAGCGTAGGATCCCATTTCCGGTGCAGATTGGGCACGGAAGTGATAAAACAGGATTTTAAGGCATTTATTTTCTCAGGAAATACATCTTTAACCTTTAACACATTATATTTTAGAATGCTTGCTATTTTTGGGGAGGGAAAAACGGCAACACTTTATTTTACAGAACAACAATAACTATGTAATAACACAGTAATAACATAGCAAGTTACCGTACAGTACAAGGTAACAAGAAAATCTTGGTTTAGTGCTGTGCTTCAGATTTGATGTATTATCTGGTAAAATTCAGTTTATTACTTGGTATATAACAGAAAACCAAACCTAGAATACAGCAAGCCGATCTTCTTAACTAAATTCTTATTTACATGTAACTTGAGTTCAGTTTTATAATACTTTATTTACCCGATCATAATTTCCAATTTACTTTGTAAGCCATTGGTAGGTGGTGGCCCATTATAGAAACTGTAATGTGGTGACCTAATGGTAATTACCCAACAAAGGTCTCCAATGTTACAGTCACATACGATTGTAGTTATTACATGAAGGTTATTATTTTGAAATTATATACCTAAATCTTGGGGTAATTACCCCCCCAAAAAAGTTTTTCTTGTAACCAAGTACTATAGTGTGACTTGCTATGTTATTACCATGTTATTACATGGTTATTTATGTACTGTAAAAGAAAGTGTTACAGGAAAAAATTAATTTAGGGCCTTTTAACAAAATAAAATCGAGGGCGGCTTCCGGGACGGGTCGGGTAGTGACAGGCAACAACACCAATCAAACAAAATACGATTAAAAAAAACAAGTCTGCTAATTCCGTAAAAATAAAAATAAAAATTAAAAAAATACTCACTGCACTTGGTTTTCAAGATTTGAAGACGTTTTTTGAATTGAGAAAGCTTCCTGGAGAGGTGGCGAAACGTCTTCAAATCTTGAAAACCAAGTCCAGTGGATATTTTTTGAATTTTTTTTTTATTTTTACCGAATGACTATGACCTGGATGACTGAGAACCTTCATCAGCAAGTCTGCTAATGTTCACCATCCTGTGTTTAATCTGTAGGACCTTATTATATCATTTACCCAGCATGCATTGCACAGGTGAAAAAATTGCAATGTCTAGAGGTGAAAAATATTACAAAGGATGCATACTTTTGGAAGTAATTATAAGTTTTTATGTATCACAAACGACAATTACGACATATTTATTCCATGATCCCTAAAAAAAAAATCCAATTAGTTACCCACCTGTTTCTGATACACCCAGCTGAAAATAAGACCCAATTTTTCGTTATCTTAACATAAAGTTAAACTGTTTCTTTTTACAGCACATCCATGGCCATAGTAAGAACTTTTTCTTAAAAACAAAACAAGAGCCATTTCTATTAACACTGAGTGATTAAACACTAATCCAATTGAAAAACTGAACAGTCTTCCAGGCTTACATGCAAAAAATATAAGGGAAATAAAAAGAGGTATCTGAACAGTTGCAAAATAGCTGATTTATATCAAAAAGTTTCTATAAGAGTACAGGAGTGAAGGCACCTCTTTAAAGTAGATTTCAGAACTATTAATAGTGTATGAGCTTCTTTTTTATACTAAAATTATGTTTCCGATTTTTATTGATCCTGTGAAAAGAGAATCAGCATAATTGTGGCAACAGAGGTAAAGTTAAATTATTGTAGAAGTTCAGTTTTTCCCCAGAGTGACATTCATCAAATGTTTTGCCATTATATGGCTAACTTAAACTGAAGCTAATATTCTATCCAAGCATCTAACCAGGTCTTCCACCATTTTCTCTTGTCGTCCTTTCATTGGAGGCACGTTCTGTCAAGTGTCATTGTGGGGAAGACAATCCTCCGGACTCAATCATGTTCATGTTGTCTTCCTTACAGAAATTCCTCTTCTTCTGTCTGTCGCTGAAAGATTTTATCCCCCTTTATGTCGGCTTTGGTTATAAGCCTCCTGTGACGTTCCTAGCCACTGCCCAGGCGGGGAACTCAGTCAGGTTGAAGAGCGGGACCCCCCAAGTGGTGATGGCTAACATAACCACGGCAACACCGATCAGGTTCACTCCAAAACCTGCTTTCACCTGGACAGAAAAATTAAAAGGTCTAAAAACCAACACTAAAACTGACCTTAAAGCACTAAGTAATAAAAACAGCTGATATGGATACCTTCAGTGACATTGCATTATAAAAAAAATACGAATATATTCTTTGATTTAGAACATAAGAAATCTGATACGATGTACTCTGAAAGTTTTTTTGATGCTGCAGATGCACAAAGTGTGCTTGTGTGACAGAGGGAAAGAGCGCCCTACCATGTCGCTAATCTGCACGTGGCCGTAACTGAAGACGATGGCGTTGGGAGGGTTCCCCACTGGAAGCATGACCCCAAATGACACGCACATGGTGGACGGGATCAGAGTGTGGAGGGGGTTGATGAGCAGTGTCTCCGACTGGAACACAGGGTGAAGAACAATATGGATACATTGAGGGGACAATAAAGGCGAAGAGGGAAAGTGCTTATTGGTGCGAGATCAAACAAAGAGGCAACAGCAGAACAGGATTAAATAAAAACAAAAAGAGTAAGCAAGAGAGAAAAAAGAATTTAACACAGTGAATCACAACTATGTTCTGTTTTCATATTTTATTTCCTCGGATGGTATGCCTAGCCCAGTGCATGTTAGTTTAGCTGTGTCTCTTTTCTACTTTGTACAAAGCTATCATTGGAGGTGTTGTTACCACTAGCCACCGGTCTCCTATTTTTCTTTCCTGTTTAAAATAATGTTTACAGATTGGTTGCAT